TTAAATAAAAAAGAAACAAAAGAATTTAGTTTTGTTTATGACAAGAGAGTTATTCCAGAAAACTTTGATGCAATACCGTTTGGATTAGATAAAAATTTAAAGTAATCAGTAATTTATACACACCAAATTTTCGAGTTATTTGAAATAAATTTAATTTTTTTCATCTATTTTTGATTTTTTGGTACCTATACTTAGTTTTATATGCTAATCCTTTATTGTTGCTAAAACAGGGTAAAACCTTTAAATTCAGCACAACCTCATGAGCTGAAGGCAAATTAAAAAAAAAAGTTTTTCAAAGGTGAATTTTCTTGTGCGAAATCCTATTCATGTGTGCTGAAGTGACCCACCTTAAAAACAGGGCAAAATCTTTAAAGTGAGAATTTGTTTGGAAGAAACCGTATTCATTTTTGTGCTGAAGTGGCCCTACAAAAATGCAAAGCAAAAAGGCGAATTTTAAGTGTTTTTCGAGAGTCTCATGAGCCGAAAGCGAATATTAAGTGTTTTTAAAGAGTGAATTATATATTTTGGATGAAATCGTATGCACGTTTGATAAAAACAGGGTAGATTCCTTAAAATTTTGACTTTTTTAAAAAGGGTGACTTGGAAAAACAGGGCAAATTCCTTAAAACTTTAACTTTTCAAAAAAGGTACCTGTGAAAACAGTATAAAGTCATTAAAAATGTGTTGTGTGGTGAAGGGTCCTTACCATGTAGTAAAAAACTTAAAAATATTACTTTTAACTTTTCTTTTCGCCTTTAAAAAAACAGGACAAAATCCTTAAAAACAAAACGAAAATTTTTAAACATATACGCAGTTATTTTTTAATAGACTAGAAAACATACATTTACAGTAGTGATTGATACGGCTATAACAGTTTAACGCGTAGCTGTTTTAATGAATGTTCATCTATTATTCGAATCGTGTCGTTGAACAATTATCTTTTAGCATTATTTTAATTTCAATATTCTCGTTATATGAATTACAATGAAATTTACGTTGTTTGTTATAAAATTCGCATTAACAATTTAAATTAAAAATGCGGTTTATAATCTAATTGTGATTATGAATAAATCACTGGTTTGTATTGTGGTTGCTATTTTTTACTTGCATAAAAATAATCCGTTTACTAGAAAAAATCTAGTACGCATTGTTTCATTCTGCGAAGACAGGTATTAAGATTGCGTGAATGGATTAATTTAATTAAAGAATTATTGCTTAAATTTTTCTAATCAATCAACTGTTATCGTACTGTGATTGTTGGTACTGTGTTGAAGGATATCTATTACTCATATTTCCTTTAAATTTTAAAAACACAGACTTTTAGATTTAATATTTAAGTAAGTATTTTATCGTGCGGGTTAACCAGATTACGTATATCGAGCGATTACTTTTCATTTTTATATAAAAAAAGCTGAGTAGTGTAATCAGAAAGAATATATACTTTCTGAAATAGCCATTAAGATATTTGTTTATTTAAAACTCCCTGGTAAACCACCTGTGAAAAATGTAATATTCAACCTGTTTTAAAGAGTTATACCTAATCGTGTAGTTAATTTTTGTACTCACGTGATTATTTTTCAATAACTTTTCATTACCATAATGAATATAAACCTGTTGTCAGTTGTTTTTTTAAATTTTAGAATTATAAAAATAACTTCAATACCGTATCAAAAATATGGTTATACCTTTGGTGTTTTACGAAGAATATAATTTGTTTGTGTTGATTAAGGATTATGTAATTTTTCAATGAAAATATTAACATACATTTACTTGTTTTACTCACTAGGATATTTCAAAGAATTATTAACCCTGTGAAATATGTACAAACAAATACCTACGAGGTTGATCAGATATTGTCCAACAAGCTTAGTAATTGAAGTTTCTTCTTTTAAAATACGTTTTTCACAGCATCTAGACCCTTTGTCATCACCACTCTTAATACAAAGTATATTACGTGATCTAATTTTCCACAGTTATAACTTCACATTACATTTTAAATTTCATATAGATAAGACTTGATGAAGTATTATTTCATAAAATTTGCGTTCTTGTTTTTAACTCTGTTTTAAGATTTGTTAGAAGTCTAGAAAATTTGAATAATCTGACGTCACACTGGAAATAAAAATATATATAGGAGTTCCATTAAAAAAAAAATAATAATAAGTATGTTGCGCCTCGACAACAGAATACTCTGAATAGTTTAAAATAATTATAATTTATGCTGCTGAACGAAACTTATAACTTTAATCCTTCACTATTTCATTATTATTTTGTTCTCCATATACTTACTTAGGTTAATATGACGTATGTTAGACTTAGTAATGGTAACGTTATACAAAATTAATTTTTCTATGTACTTACATCCAGTTGATGATGTTATTTAAAATGACAATAAAAATGTATTAAAAAGAATATAATCCATTAATTGAAAAGGACCTTGCTTTGATGGCAATTTTCTACTTTCGATTATCTTTGAACTGACTTACATAATTTTTCTGAATATTTAATAAAATTTATTTGTTTATGCCCTCCTGAAAGTTCATGCCGTCATAAAAAAAAATGAAATAAGTATTTATTGAAGAAAATACCCAAGATGCTTGCGGTTCAGTAACAACTAGATTAGTTAAAAAAAGATCATGAACCTTTAATTTAGTTATTTTTTGACTAGTATTGCAAAAAATTTCATTTTCATTTTCTGTTATTTTTCTTTTCTTCTAAATACGAGAATTTTTTTTTGGTTTTCCAATGATGATTTTCATAAAAAATCACATGTATCCAACTTTTGGTATACATAATGCAGATACTTTAATTTTAGCGTATTAAAAATGGGAAAATTTCATCAAATTTTGAAGTTAAGTTTGATGATTTTTAGTAGATATTTTTTTCCCGTGGTTCGTTGCCTCGGTCCAAAAGTAGATAAGGATTTACTTTGGGGTGTTTAAGATTTGCGGTATTTTAATAAGAAGGTTTTTTTAAGAACTTTTATCCATTTCTTGTGCTCAATTTTTTGATGGTCTATGGTCTTTCGAATTTTGACACAAGATTTTAAGTTTTTTGTTAGTTTTTAATAGATTTTGTGTGTGCCTTTGGTAAGTTGTTGTCATTTTTATCATGTACCCAATAAGTGTGTATTTAAATTTGTCTGTCACTTATCTTCTATTATTCTATACTGTTGTAGAATTTGTATCACTTAATTGATGCAAATACGTTTCATCGCTCTTAAATATAACATATGGTTTCCTCAAATATAAACTCTTAAGTCATACCTGTGACATATTTTTTGACTTATTGCACATTTATTCATACAATAATCTTTTATTAGGGTTTCGTCAGGCGAAAATATTTCTCTAAATACTTTTGGTATTTGGCCTGAAGGTGTTTCAAACTCAATAAATAACTATTTTTGGTTTTTTCTTATGTATACTGGAAATTTGTTTCACCGGTTCATAGTTCTCCTGTTGTTCAGAAAGATGTTTCAAACTCATGAAAACTGAAATCATCCTTATTTTCAGACTACTCTCACAATGATTAATGCATCGTAACGATAATTCAAAACAGTTCAAACTCGGGTATGAGAAGTGTTAGTTAATTATACCAATGAACTTGTCCTTACAAAACTGCAAGGATGCCTTGCAAATATGAGGAAATTGTAAACAAGTTGGTCTTTTAAATTCACCCGAAATAGAGTGTCGAGCGGAAGAAACTCGCCTATCGGCTCGGCTCGTATTCGCAGAAGCAACACGTTTCCGAACGTTGTTTTTGTTGTCCATTTATTACTTGCAAATGTTGATTTCTTTTTTTTTCTTAAATGAGGTTGTCCAATTTTTGAGTGTGTTTTGGAGTGTCTAAAAGTAATGCAATTTTATAGAGAAATTTTACTGACTCTTTAAAGTGTCCAATTTTTAATGGTCTGTACTTTTATATAATAAATATAACTACTTATTTAACTCCGGTAGTGGTTATTCTTGCAGTTTTTGGAGTATTTTAATATTAGTTTTTGTGGCTTTTGGGGCAATTGTCAATAATTTTTCATGTGTCCTACTTGGGTTTTTAATTTTTAAAATGTTATCGTTTTGTACTTGTCGGTATGTAAATGAGAATATGGGAAATAATTATTATTATTATTAACTTTTTTAACTTAGATGGTGGCAAAATTTAATAAACAGTTGTACTAATTTGTTTTATAGTTTATTTATAATCATCAGTTATTATTTTGCATTATTTTTGCATCAACGGTACAGGGAACCAGAAATTAAACAAACAAGAATGGAAACATTTATTCATGAATTATTAGTTTGAAAATGGGGGGAATCACCTTTATTAAGAATGGGATATAAATGTGTGTGTGCGTTAATGATAAAAAATATATAAGATCATGGAAGGAGAAACTTCAATATAATTTAAATTTATTTCAATATTTAAAAACTGTAAAGTAATATTCCTGTTTAACTCGTTATTTTCTTGCTTAATTATTGCAAAAGTATGCGATATATAGATTATTATCTTTTGAGATATCTGCAAATACGTATATACTGTGGTTGTCTTATGTGTAAAAGCACACAATTTTTGATAAAGTGAAGTAGACGTATGAAGTATTATTTAACGATAAACAATAATTAAAACTCGCATTAGTGTTTCGTTCATCGTCCTTAACGCTGTTGTGTTGGGTATTATTATTATTGCTCAATTTCTTCCGCTTGACTCTCTATTTCGGAAGAATTTAAAAAATAGCACTTGTTTATACCCGTTTGTTTACAATTTCCTCATATTTGCAAGACATATCCTTGCAGTTTTGTAAGGACGAATTCATTGGAGGAATTATCTAACACTTCTCATACCAGATCTTGAAATGTTTCTGTAACCGTTACAATCCGTTAATTGTTATTTATATCTTGTTTATACTCACAGAGAAAAAGAGAAATAGTGTGAAAAACCTATCGCGACAAACATTTATTAAAAACAAATAGCATGTCTTGAATGATAAATATGAATGTAAAGCAGACAATTCTGTCAGTAGTGGACAAGGAGTGATCCACCGCGGAGGTCTCTCCGTGTCCTTATATAAGTCAAATTTTATTATTTCCTGAATTTAGGCAAGAAAGTGTGTGTTTAAAATGACAGTAAATGTAAAGACGGTTGTGAGAGTCGGATCTTGCGTGAGTGAAGAACAATATTTAAAGTCAATAGTGACAAGAACTGATTTCGATAAAAGTATATAGAACAGCTAATGGGTACAATCAAAATGAATAAAACAAGAAGTATTCCGATAACAACAATTTCAGAAACAATTGACAATAAGAGTGATCACACCGAAGAAAATCAGGACAAAAATAACAAACGAAAGTAAGTTTTGTCTAAACATTAAATAAATGAATAAGAAGATATGGATAAAACTACTTAAATTTGATGTCAGCTAAACACAAAATTTAATTCACGTTTTAAAACATTTATTAACCTACTTTTTTAATTTTTGTTTTGTTGCATTAAATTATAATTGATGATAAGTGATACTTTAGTAAATTCTGAATATTATATGTTTATGTCTGTCAAATCCAAGAAATTTAGAAAATTGTTTTTTTTAGAAAAAATAGACTTCTTTGCCAACTAAATATGTGATTAATAATTTAGATGCAATTTTTTTATGATGTCTACAGCTTTATATTTTACTTTAATTTTTTAAGCGATTTTGATATCAAATATATTGTAACAAGATATGCACAAACTAGGTTGACTAGATAGATTTTTAGTTTATCTTTTTGATTTTGACTGACAACTTATTTTTAAAACCTAAAAACTTATAATAATTGATATATACTAAACCGGTTATTACTGTTTAACTCCACATTGTGATCTAATTGCCTAAGTGGCAAAACTAAATCAGGAGGCACTTTAAAGATTGTTCAACAATGAAGTGACATTGAATAATGCAATATGTTGCGTAAATAAGAGGAAAACGTATCTAAATTAGAAAATTATTTTTTAACAGGAAACACAAAAAATTCACATGTAAGCAGAAAATAGCTTTAGTAATGTTAGCAATCGTTGACTTCATGAGCTTTTGCTCAATGTCAATAATGGCTCCATTTTACCCCCAAGAAGCTGCAACCAAAGGTATGTCGGAGTCCTTAGCAGGATTCGTTTTTGGTTTCTATGCACTTGTAGTATTTTTATCATCACCAGTATTTGGGAAAACTGTAAGTCTTTTTTTTGTAACAAATACTTTACTAACAGCTGTTTTTTCAGTTGCCCAAAATAGGGCTAAAATGCCTTTTTACCGGAGGAGTATTAATATCAGGACTATGTAGTTTAGTTTTTGGGTACGTCGATATCGAATTAATCTTAAGTTTAAATATTTTGTTTTAGTACGTTACATCTCATAGAAGATTACTTTTTATTTACAACTTTTTCTTTTATCATACGGGGCTTGGGAGCATTAGGATCTAGTGCTTACTCAACAGCTAGTTACGTAATAATTGTAAATATTTTTCCCGATCATGCGGGAGCCGTGAGGGTAAATTTTAGGACAAAGTTTAGTAGTAAATAAATAATGCTGGTGTTTTAGGGTCTTCTAGAAACTTTTGTCGGATTAGGTATGAGTGTGGGCCCTGCCCTAGGTGGTCTACTTTTTGCGGTGAGTTATTCAGTAATGAACATTAACGGTTTTTACTTATTATTTTTCTCTAGGAAGATCGGGGGCTTTGGTTTACCATTCTATGTGATAGGATTAGTTATAATATTGATAGCACCACTTAATGTATATTTGCTGCCTTCGTCGGAAAGTGAGTATCGTATTTGTAAGTTATTTACATACTTGAATTGTTTAATGTTGAAAACGTCCCTAAATGACTAATTAAATAAAGACATTATCCGTTAGTACTGTCTTAACTAAAATGTTCGCCGGTAAATTAAATTAATGTTCTATTAACAAAAGTACTCTTCCTTAATTATTTCAAGGTTAGATTATGGTTTTCTTTGACGTGGTAGTACCGTCAAATTACTTAAATTAAGTTAAATTAACTGGGAGATACGTGTTTAAAATAATTGCCTGTAACTATGTTTGCCTTCCGTATTATCGTTTTTACAGCTAATATAGTGGCAATTGGCTTTCAGGATGTGCCTTAGAAACGAAAACTGGATCATTTACAAAACTTATGAAAATACCATCTTTGGTAGTTACCTGCTGCATTATAGTCGTGATCGCTATGACGTGGAGCTTCCTGGATCCTACTTTGGAACCTCATCTTAGAAAGGTAGCACTCTATTCTTTTTGGTTGTGTCTGATTCAAAGTTTTGTTTTAGTTTAAATTAAGCCCAGGAAATATTGGTCTCATTTTCTTGTTATTGTCAGCGATGTACGGAATTTTTAGTCCCGCATGGGGATGGTTAACTGACAGGATGAACAATTACTGGTGTCTCATGACGTCAGGCCTTTTCTTTAGCTCCGTTACGCTATTACTGCTAGGACCGTCTCCAGTGTTGTCGTTTTTAGAAGAGTAAATATGTACTAATTTAAATTCTTTTTTTATATTAGTGCATTGTAGTTCAATATGGTTAAACATTGTTGCGCTCTCATTACTAGGGGTGTCAGTAGCTATGGCTCTAATGCCAACTTATCAAGCAATTTTAGACAGTGCTCTGTATAACTAATGTTATTTGTCTAAATACTTTACTCTCTTTTAATGTTTTAGTGAAGAAGGTTTTGAAGATAATCTGGGAACTCACAGCGTGATTGCTGGACTTTGGTCATGTGTATACTCGTTGGGTGAAGTGCTAGGACCCGTAATCGGAGGCGCTGTTCTTCAAAACTTTGGATTTCCTGTAACATCCACAGTGTTTTCTTTGTTAAATTTAGTTATGGCAGTAGTTGGTACTTTCTATTTTTTCCTGAGAAAAAGAAAAAACTCTAGTTCTAACATACTCACAGACCAAGTTCCTGCTCAGGCTTTCAAACAAAGGAAATCAGAAATAGTTATTGTAACAAGAATAGATAGGGCGGAAAATGGAAAATGGATGGCAAAATTGATGTAGAACAGTTAAAATTGTACATAGACAGTTTTTACTTTTTAATTTTTTTTTTAAATTGCCATAAAAATAAATAATGTCAAGAACGTTTAGTTTTATTTTTAGTATAAATTTTTAACTTTTGCATAAATTTGTGTAGTTTCACAAGTGTCTTTTCAGTTTTTTCAATAATATTGAATTAGTGTGTTTCTTAAATATCTTATTCAATTACAATGCAGAAATAATTTTTATACCGAAATACAGTGTGATTGTTTTTAAATATGATCGACTAAATTGAACTATCTGCAACGAAATTTGGATAGAGGCAATGTGTTACTAATAATAGTAATAACAACCGTGCTGTTTTGGCTGTTTCCATAATTTTAGGAAAGCGAAATAAACCATTTTTGAATTAATCAGCAAAATAAATTAATTCATAAATGCATTATTTTTTGTACTGTAGGGTTTTCACAAGAAATATTTATTAATTCAGATAAGTATAGGCCAAACATCGGATATCCCTCTTGCGAAGGTCCGTGTCTGGGGAATTGCGGCCCTCCGCGTAATTCACTGGGTAGGGTAGCGTCATCTGATGCAGACTTCTCGTCGGGGTGTGGGAATTGCGTCACTTAGCGGAAACTCGTCAGTGATTATAAGCGCAATTCGTCAGCATTGCCTTTTAAAGAAAAAACCACTTGAAACATCCGCATAACATGCTTCTTTACCTTTACTTTAACGCTACACACATATCTTCATTTTAACTTATGGGGGCCATCATAAAAATAAAATTCGCAAAATTAAATGTTACTTCTATCATTTTTCTATAAAGCTGATAATGCTATTATACTTCAGGGGCAAACGCAGTTCTGTGCAAATACATAACTTTAAACCAGTTTTTTTTTGTTACAGCTATTGGTGCAAGTTAGCATTTTCATTTTGAGTAAGAGTGTTACTAACTTTTTCCCAAGTGTCGTAATACGGTGGTTTTCATTTAGCACCTTGGCCTGTCGACGCAACGCTACTATCACTTTACTGAAATAGAGATTTCACGGCTTTTTAACGATACGTGAAAGAAGGAAATATGTACCTACAATTGTTGAACAAACAAAAAAAATCTTCTTTTTGCTTGGAGGGTTTAGAAACGTGACTAACAACCAAATTTAAATTGTGGTTTGGACATGGAATGAATAAAGCTCTATGGCTTTGACCACAAATTATTTCTATACAACAATATTTTTCCTTGCAATTTGAATCGTTATCTTGAAATATTTACTATGGCCAAAGGGTTATGGTACCTATCCACGCATTATGATTTTTTGGCTATTTCTCTTGTTGTTCGTATTACTCTGTTTGGTAGATGGTACCACAAATTCATGTCACTGAAAACCTTTGGTTCTAGTGAAGTTGAATCATCGATTACTTCTACTAGTTATATCTTCTGCTCATTTTTTGCCACTTTTCTTTTTCTATATTTTGAGCTGCAGGATATCTTTGTTTTTTTTGTGTAGACACTGATACAATGAAAAATTAATAATTAGATACAGAATAATTAAAAAGTATAGGCCACCTGAATTTAAAATTTAATACTTATTAAATAAATTTTAAATATATGTTACGCACTTCATTTGATATTACTGTTACCTTGATCAGTCATTAAAAAATCGGCGTGGGTAAAACTCAACAATTTAATTCTCAGTAATACTCATCTACACGATTAACTATACGAAGATTATGATTGTACAGAATAATTCCGACTGGAATGGATTTGACTAGACACAAATTCTCTCAACATTGACTAGACTTGATTTGTTGACTGAATGAATCGTTCCCCTCTGTTTAAACCCAGACTTCCTTTCTAGATATTCCGCGATTGAGGTTTTTCTGGAGTACCCATCGCGACTTCGGTTTCCAGGCTTTTCTTCGGCGAATGCTGCCCGGCCGTCGTCACCCATGATGTGTTACCCATCACCTCCGGATATACTAGAAAGCCCTCGAGAAAACTCATAGACGTCCTATACCGGGGTGACGTATGGATTTACTTCGTAACACTACCCCCTCTTTAGCTCTGATCGTCCCAAACTATATACAGGGTTAGTCACGAGAGAATTACTTCTGAAAATTATTTTTACGCAACCCAAAATACTAATACCCTCTACTACTTGATATTATCTGAATTTAAAATGAAATGCCTAATCCATGATTGCTTTGACTTTGGCAGTGTCACTTTGACGTTAATTAATTTTTAACATTTTTTTCATCGTTGACTCGCCTCTAGAGCCCCATTGGATCGACGACATACAGTCAGATCAATCTGGGCTATACTGAAGCCGTAAGTGCTCTACTAATGTTGTTCGCTGCTAATGTGCATGTGTTAATTTGCCATCTCTGCGTCACCTAGACCCTCTTCGAAGTGCAAATCTGCAACCTCTGGACTTCTTCGGCCATCCATTTACAAAAAAGCCGTAGCATCCCCCCAAAATGCCCAACATTTTCAACAGATTAGTAGTTAAATTATTTACTTACTTGTTTGAGTTTGTATTGTAACCTTTGAATAAAATGCCGTAAAAGGAATTTTTAGAAATAATTTTCTCGTGATTAATCGGCTGCAAAAGATCAAGAGGCACACTGACAAATTTATTAGCGGCGCCGGAGGAGATTTCCGACTGGCTGCGGTACCACCATGGACACTCGCGTAACCTCCTTTTCCACAATTGTCAAAATGAGATTGCCAAACTCAAAGCAATCATGGATTAAGCATTTCATTTTAAATTCAGTTAGTATCAAATGGTACATGGCATTCGTATTTTGAGTTGCGTAAAAATAATTTTCAGAAGTAATTCTCTCGTGACTAAGCCTGTATATATATATATATATATATATATATATATATAACCGGTTCCTCTTCTACCGTTAGGTGTTGAGGGATAGATGTCCATTACTTCCTGATGAGTTCTCTCCACTGTTTTCTATTGAATGCCGTTTGTTTCGCTTCAGGCCAGGTAATTCCTGTTCGTTGTAGTGCTTCAGAAATCACGTCATTCCAACGTTTACGTGGCCTTCCTTTTCTTACTTTACCGTATTCTCTAGCTTCCCAAATTTTCTTGACTTGTCTATCTTGGTTCATCCTGTTTAAGTGTCCAAACCATCTTAGTTGTGATCTTTCAATTACACTGTTGGCGCTCTCTACATTGAGATTATTCCTAATTGTCTCATTCTTGATTTTGTCCATTATTGTTACTCCTTGTACTCTGCGTAGATACTTCATCTCAACTGTCTGTATTTTATGTCTTTGTCTTTCAGTAGGGGTCCATGTCTCACATCCGTACAGGAGTGTAGGGAGGTATACCGTCTTGTAAATAGTTATTTTTGTCTTCTTACTGACTTCTTTCTTGTTAATAAAACCTTTTTTCAAGGAATGGTATAGTTTTGTTGTTTTCTCAATTCTACTGTCTAGTTCTTTTTGTAGTTTTCCTTCTTCATCTATCTTGACTCCTAAATACTCATATTCTTTTACTTGCTCCACTTTATTTCCATTCAGAAGTAAGTTAATTTCTTTAGGAGAATTGGATATGACTAGGGCTTTTGTTTTGTCAAGATTGATTGTCATTCCGTTAACCGATAGTTCTCTGGCCCAAATGTTTAGATTGGTTTGAAGTGCTTGCTCGGAGCTCGCTATTAGTGCAATGTCATCTGCAAATATACATTCACTCACTTTAATGCTTCTTAATCGATGGTAACCAGCTTCTGTTCTTTAGGATTGTGCACTACATTTATTTATGATGCCATTCATGAATATCAAGAACAATAGTGGACTCAGCACCCCCCCTTGTCTCACTCCCTGGGTTGTTCCAAATCTTCGGGATTCACAATTAAGTGTTCTCACTATGTTCCAGCTTGATTTGTAAGTGGATTTAATTGCTTCAATTAGTCCGGGTTCGATTTCAGATATTCTTAATGCTTCCCAAATACATTTCCTAGGGACTTTATCGAAGGCCTTTTATAATGGTGAAGATATGGTCCGGGTCGGAATCCACTCTGCGCATCGTGCAGACTATTTTCTATCGAGTCTCTTAGTTTCTTTTCTAGTAAAATCTCATATACTTTCCCTGGTACGCTTAGTATCGAAATTCCCCTATAGTTCGAACACCTCTTTCTGTCTCCTTTCTTAAATATAGGGGTGATCACTGCAGTTGACCAGTCTTCAGGTATTCGTTTTTGTTTCCAAGCCTCATTCATTATATTACAAAAGTATTTGATCGCTGATAGTCCCATATACTTCAGCCATTCCGCTTTAATGTCATCAATGCCTGCTGCTTTCCCGTTTTTCAATTTTCTAATGGCTGCAGTTACTTCTTGTATCGAAATGTCTTCGTCTCTGATTGTTGTGTAGTTGCTTCGATGATCATTTGGTGTTTCTTCTGATTCATATGCTTCTAAAAGTTCTGAGAAGTATTCTCCCCATCTATCAGCAATATCAGCAGGTTCCGTAAGCAACTCCCCGTTTTTGTTCATTATCTGTCCTAGGGAACCTCCTGATTTTCCTCTCATTCTCTTCAGAACGCCGTAGAACAATTTTTGATTTTGCTTGCTGTTTTCTTCCATTTTTTCGCCAAATTGTTCCCATTCCTTTACTTTTGCTTTCTTCACTATATCTTTATTCTGCCCTCTTTATACATTTCATATGATTGTCTTGTACTATTTGCTAGATAAGCTTTCCATAATTTTTTCTTCTCTTTAATAACGAGTTTTGTTTCTTCACTCCACCAGCTAGTTCTTTTCTTAGATCCTCCTGTTCTAGTAAATCCACAAACTTTTCTAGCTGCATCATAGATTGTATCTTTAAAGAACTTCCACCTTTGTTCGAGTGTTTGCTGCTGCACCCCCATTCTTTTAAATTTCTCTTCTGTAAGTTTTGTGAAATTGCTTCTTATTTCTTCATTGGCTAACTTATGTGTCCTTACAGTTCTCTTCTCTTTACTTGTTGCTTTCATTGTGTCTTTGGAAATGTTCGCTTCTTTTAGATTTATTTTTGCCACAACTAGGAAGTGGTCACTGCCCAATTCCGGAAGTCTACCGACTTTAACATCGTGTATTTTGTTTCTCAGATTTTTTTCTGTTATGATATAGTCAATGATTGACTTTTCATTTCGTGCTGGCGCAACACGGGTGAATTTGTGTATTTCTTTGTGTTGAAACCATGTATTCAAAATTATTAGTCCGTTTGAGTTACAGAAGTCAATTAATAGTTCGCCATTTTTATTTTTAATTGTCTCTCCAAAACTTCCTATTACCCCATTGCTATTTCTTGCTTCATTGCCCACTCTACCATTCAGATCAACAACTATCAAGATGGGACTGCTACTTTTCTCATACACTTCCTGTAGTTCATCCCAAAATTTGTCTTTACTATTTTTATTGTCATTTTCATTGGGTCCGTATACTATTATAACTGTCCAAAACTCGTCCTCATCAAATCTTACTTCAACGACCATAATTCGTTCATTAACTCCTTCCCACCTTTTTATTCTGCTCATAAAATCGTTTTTGACAATACATCCCACTCCTGCTTGTGCCCATATTGATGATTCTACACCGCTATACATTATTGTGCAATCTTCCACAATCATTTCTCCTGTTCCTTTTTTCTTTATTTCAGTTAGTGCCAGTAACTTCAAGTTAGATTTTTTAAATTCTGATGTTAGTTCCATTTCCTTGCCTGTTATACTCCTAATATTCCATGTTCCTATATGTACTTTGATTTCTTTTGCTTTATTTTTTTGCTCTGTATTTTTTAATGTTCTCCGACAAATTCGGATGCACACATAAATGTTTCTTACCATTGTACTACTGTCCGTCTCGTTATTGTCAATACAATTTTATAGGGTACAATGATTTTTCCAAAACTATAATAATAAAAGCAAATATCAATGTGGAACAAGGAAAAATGTAGACTATTATTGTTTAAGAAATATAATGTTAGTATTGTTTAACAGGTTGACTGCCATGTCGGTCTTATACGACCGCTGATAATTTTTCCAACTCTGCCCAGCGGTCGTATACGACCGCCAATTTTTCCCAATGCATACACGTTTCTAATATGCCAGCGGTCGTAGCTACGACTGCTTTTAATACATCATTCGACCGCTCACCGCTGAGGCACACGGGCCTTGCAGACGATCCCCAATTTTTAAATATTTATTTAATATTTCGTTAAACAAAGCCTCAAATAAAATTTTACAAAATTTTAATGTAAATTAAAGTACAATTTATAATTGGGTATACAATTTTAAACGAAAAAACATTTCTTATAAAATAAAATAAAATATAATTTCATTGTTTAGGGGCAGTGTTAAAACAATTCAAACACATATGAGGTTCACCCTCGCAATGTCCACAATATGTCACAACTTTTTTTACTTGATTCTTCGTAAGTTCTGCCCGCAATTTCTTAAATGAACATCACTTCTTTGTTTCCTGCACAAACGTGCAAAATCTGGACATGTTTATGCAAGTTATAACGACCGCTAGTACGACCGCTTTGACAATAGCGGAATAAAAATGCCGCCCCCGCTCGAGAAGGCGTGTACGACGGCTACATGAATTTTGCAAAAATTTTGCTTATTGTAAAAAGTAGCAAAAAAATATTATTTTGAGCGTAAAAACACATATTATTTTCAACTTCGCACCAGAAGTAATTTTTGAAAATTTTATATGGCAGTCAAACTGTTAAGTATATTTTTATGTAATGTATAAACCCTCCATGAAACAATGAAAGAATTTTCATATGTGCTTCGTTTTATGTAATGTGGGGTTTACTTTCAGTCGTGTGAACACATATGTTTTATTTAATCATTAAGTTGAATTAATCAATAATAATATATATGTATTAAACACCACGTCAATTCTTTTTTATTTGAAATTCTGGCTAGAGGCATATTTTTAATGTTGTTTGCTTCATTTTTACTTCCCGAGCGTAAGCAAAGGAAGTATTGTAATCGAGTCCGTCGGTCCACTCTCTACTTTTACGTTTTCTCGATCTTTCATGGCCCCCAGAAAACGATGAAATAGGTCTCCCATTTCCGTCTGTCTGTCCGTCTGTCCGTCTGTCCGTCTGTCTGCCGTCCCGGATTTTTATTAGACAGATAATCTCCGAAAGTACTGGACCGATTGTTGTAAAATTTTGTACTTATATTAGGAATATCATGTAGATGGTAAATCGCTAACCAAAATTTGTCTAATCATCCCCACCACTAATGCGATGACGTCACTTCAAAATTGTACATAGTAAATGGGTTTTAAATTGTACAAAATAACATAGTCCTACACATGTAGTTTACGACTCCGAATTGAGTTTTTACCCGGAACGTCCAGATTTTTGGAAAACAAATCAAAATTATAAAACAACATTTTGCGATTTAATTTTGAATCTGCTAAACCGAATGTTTTGAAATGTTGCAGATGTTCTAAGGTTATAAAGAGCATAATAAATGTTTAGTCAAAATATATTTGCTTATCCCCACCAAAAACTTGATGACGTCAGCTCGAAAGTTTGCCGAATAAATCCTACCTAAACTGTACAAAATTCAATGAGTCTGTACTTGTGATTTGATTTATCATTCCATTCATATTTTTTGGATTTGCATATACAGGGTGGCTCAGAAAAAATAATGAATGCGTAAATTTATTTTATTGATTTACTCAGGAACTACAAAACCGAATGCTTTGAAATCTTGAAGATGTTTTAAAGTTATCATAAGCAAGGTAAGTTTATGATCACAATGTATTTACTCATCCCCCCTAAAAAATTTATGACGTCGCCACAAAATTTTGCTGAATAAATCCTATTTAAAATGTCTCTTCTTGTGATTTATCATTCCATTCATATTTTTTGGATTTGCATATACAGGGTGACCCCTTAGATCATATAATAAATAGATACCACCATGCTGTGTTCTTTCCCTAGCAGAGCTTGTGACGACATCCTCCTGTCACACATCTCTCTCGTGCATGGAGGGATTACAATGAAGCTATCCTTGCCTGATCACTATTTGAATTTTGCGCGCCTAAATTTTAGGAAGTATGTCTGAACTAACTTCGTGCGAAAGATGTTGACAGCTTGATTTTATAAATAATTCACAGTAGATAATGAAAGGAATACTAAATTATTGGGCAGCAATTGTGATCCTTTATGATTACATCACTTAAAATAGGATCTTTGTTCTAAATTCTAAAATTGTTTTTTGTACAACAACTACTCGAAATAGAGTAGACGAAACATCTGTCAAAAGCGATTTGTTGCGCTGGTCCGGTACAAGGATGGAAGTGAAATAGACATATACAGATGAAATGCATATAACAAAGATGAAGATGTGGTGATCACACAAGGATAGGATTATACTACTCCTCTTGACGTAGAAAACGACAACAGATAGCTTCATGTCTAGTCACAGTTTTCAGTTTGAGTATTGGTATCTATTTATTATATGATCTAAGGGTGATCCAAAAAAATTAATGAATGCGTAAATTCAAACTTCAATCTGCAGGGATAAGAGGTAAACTTTTAAATTGGATTCGGCCATTCCTTTCCAACCGTACATTTAAAGTAAGAGTGGGATCAGATTTCTCTCAAATAAGGCCTGTCCAAAGTGGAGTCCCCCAAGGCTCAATTCTGGGTCCTTTCCTCTTCTTAGTTTTTACATCGGACATTCCCAAGTTAATCCATTCCAACATAGCCATGTTTGCTGACGACATTAAGCTTTATTCCAATCCACTCAAAGACCCTGGTCAATTACAGTCAGATCTTACCACTATCAAACACTGGTCCGATGCTTAGCTGCTGCCGTTAAACCAAGACAAATGCGCCATACTTCGTCTTGGCAAAAACAACCCCTGTGTCAACTACCAAATAAATGACACCACCATAAAAGTTGTGGCAGAACAAGTCGATCTTGGAATCACAGTAACCAGCGATTTATCGTGGTCATCGCACATCAACAAAATATGTCACAAAGCCAACAAGATGTTATATCTACTCGGCAAGACATTCCAACACATTTCTTCGAGATCTGCGAAGAAACTTTATACCACCTACGTAAGACCCGTGTTGGAGTTTGGAGGTCCAGTATGGTACTGCAGTCGTGTGAGCGATAAGAACCGACTCGAACTTACGCAACGTTGAGCCACCAGGTTGTCCTTTGGAACGAATAGACCCTCATACGAAGAGAGACTTAGGCTATGGAACCTACCCACATTTGAACAAAGCAAAAAAAAGAGGCGATATGATAATTACTTTTAGAATTCTTCATGGTCACTTCCCAGTTGATCTCCAAACATTGTTTACAATTAATGACGATGCACGTCTTCGAGGCCACCCCCTGAAGCTCAAAAAAGAAAAATTCAAAACTTCCATCCGCCAGAATTTTCTCCCAAATAGAATATTTGATACTTGGAACAACCTCCCCCAGGAAATTGTAGAAGCGCGAACTACAAACAGCTTTAAAAATGCATATGACGATCTCAACGTGGCAAATAACTAACACAATCAACTTTTTTTTTTCTTTTATTTTTTTTTTCTTTTATTATTTTAATTTTGTATAATAGAATTTAATTTCAATTTTTGTAAACAAGACCATTTATATTTGTTAACTCTACAGATCTATAGACTGCAACAGTCTCAATCTGTATTTATATTGTAATAATAATAATAATAATAATAATAAAAATGTATTTTATTGATTTAATCAGGAACTACAGAACCGAATGTTTTGATATCTTGCAGATGTTTTAAGGTTGTAAAGAGCATAATAAATTTTTAGTCAAAATATATTTGGTTATCTTCTCCAAAAAACTGATGACGTCAGCTCAAAAGTTTGCCGAATAAATCCTATCTAAAATGTACAAAATATGATGAGCCTGTACTTGTAATTTATCATTCCATTCATATTTTTTGAAATTGCATATACCGGGTGACTCAAAAAAATAATGAATGCGTAAATTTAATTTATTGGTTTACTCAGGAATTACAGAACCGAATGTTTTGATATCTTGCAGATGTTTTAAGGTTGTAAAGAGCTTTGAAATCTAATGCGAAAAAAAAAAACAGCGAGGGAAGTACTGTCTAAAATCTTTAGACCAATATTTCGTATTTATAATACACACAACCAGGAACTTAAATTCCAATCTCATTACAATTTGTAGCACATTTGCTGATTTATTAACTTCCATAACTTAAACTTGCCACCACACTATTGTAGTGACTTTAGTATTTGCATCCTGTTACTTTAATTCAAATTTCTCTTTTTTTCTGTGTGTTTTTTAAATTTGTGATATTTTAATGTTTGCATCTATTTGTAACATTTCGTGGCATTTTTGTAAGCTGGGGAGGGTTTTTGAAGCTGGGAAAGTTCCTTATAGGTTATTTCAACAGTTTCTCTTTCTTCATAATGGAGGAATAAACAATTTGAGCTTCATATTTTGTATTTTGGTTTGAGGGCACTTTTCCAACCAAAAGCATAGGATTCCATTTTGATGATGGTCTCAGTTTAAGGCCAAATTTCCAGTTTTTGGTGGATTTTAAAATTTCTTTCACACATAAAATATACATATGGTATATGTATACTTTATGGATTTGTGACGGACATAATACTAATACAGTACAGTCAAAATAATATTAATTTAGAATTGGCTTTAATTGGCCTTTTTCCGTCCTGCATATCAACAGCAGTAATGATATTAATATTAAAGCGCCAATAAAAACCTTGTTAACTGTGCAACTTTTTAAAGTCAGCGTCATGCCATTTTAAAACCAGTATTGCCAACAATACGGTGTTAGACACCGCCTTCTCCAAACCATTTTGTTTTCAAACGCTTCAGGGTGCGGGTGCCACAAAGTCAAACTCTCCCTAAAATGCTAAAAAACTACTCCTGGAAGTACTTACGTATTTTTTGTGGTGATAATAGGAGAATTTTCGTAATTAGTAATAGTAGATTACAACGTAATATATAGGTATCTTTTTTTAATCTCGTTTGCAGAATGATTATAACTATTTGATGCAAATATCTCTTGACTGTGGGTATGTCTACCCAAATTTTAACTGAGTTCATATATTTTTAAGTCATACTTAGGTGTACAAATAATTTGCTTATTAGGAAAAAACTGCTTACCAAAGCGATACTTGAAATTGAACGAATGTCAGAAAATTTTGCATTTGTTTATTCTACATTACAGTATTGTACGGGGACGTTTTTTGTTAATTATTGATAATTTAATAAAAATATCAAAAAATAGAAGTGATGAAAAATCTTAATATTTATTTTAGAAATATTTAATTTATACTAATAGTTTTTGAGTTACAAAAATACATTTAGTTTTAAAATACTTAATATATTAACTAAAGCTCATGATTATACTTCACAAGAACCTTTTCCAGTTATTGCCACCGTTCCTCTAATATCGGTTACTTGATTAATATCGACTTCTCCCATCTTTAAAAAAAAAAAAAGAATTAACGACATAAACGTTATCACCGGAAACATCATACCTCATTGTCCAGTTTCCTGCTTTTTTCGTAATACTGTACTTTCTCTTCTGTGTACATCCTATAACCAGCATCGACAGTCGATAAAAGTAAAGGAGTACTTTCAGTAGAGTCTTCTTCACTAGGTGACCCTCTCCAAGATCCGCTAATTCCGCTATCAGATGCACAGTCTTGATTTTTACAATAATTATTTTTAAATACAAAAAAGAAAAATGTTACCACAGCCTGAAATACAAAACCGTTAGTAAAAAGCAGAAGAGAGAGTCATAGTACGAACCAAAGTTAAAGTCATACAAGCCATAATTGTTGATGTAATAGGGAATCCATAGTGTTGGAGAAGAAATCCTCCTAACGATGGGCCAATTACTTCTCCTAAAGAATATACACAAGACCACACTCCTGCTACTATGCTGTAGGTAGAGAGTGTGTCACCACAGCCACTATTTCTAAAAACATTCAACCGTGTAAATATAGATCTTAAAATATTTAGTTAGTTATTAAGATGGTACTTACATAGCACTAGTTAATAATCCCTGGAATGTTGGCAATAATGCTAAAGCTACTGAGATTCCCAAAATCGATAGTGCCACTAGATTTAGCCACAATGAACTAAATGGAGTATAGTGTAAGAAAATACATGCTTAATATACGACTAATTACCACAATACCTGGTAAGAAATGGAATGTAGGGACAAGGTCCAAGTAATAAAAGTCCAACGGTACACATAAAAAGCCCAATAACCATCATAGACCAATGGTTATTAATTTTGTCTGCTAACCACCCCCAGGCTGGACTAGACACTCCATAAAGACCAGAAAATAGTAAAAATATTAACCCGATCTTTTCTGGTGTAAGATTAAACTGTAAAAATCACATAAAAATATAAAAAATGCATTTACTTATTTTAAAGTAACCTGTCGTAAGTGCGGTTCCAATGTGGGATCAAGAAACGCCCAAGAGCTTGACACAATTACCACTATTAATCCAGTTATTACAACTGTCGGTACTTTTATCAGTTTGCATATTGATGGTGGTCGATTTGTTACAGTACAGTCTTAAAATAAACAAGTAAGTAACAAAGTGTACTACAAAAAATTAACAAAATACCTTCCACTGTAGGTAACATCCAAATATTTAAAGGTAGGAAAACAATCATTGTTACTCCTAAAACGAAAAATGGCATACTAAAGCCGCCTAACTGTCTAGAACTAAAATATACAGATAAAGGTCCTATTGATTTTTAAAAATATACATACCGAATAGAGTACACCTCCTAATGCCGGTCCTGTGCTCATCCCTAGCCCCACGAAGGTTTCTAAAATTCCCTGAAAATTGTCCATTAGTTACTTGTGTTAATTTTAGAGTACCCATACTTACTAAAACGGAACCGATATTTTGGGGAAAAGTGTTAACAACAAATACATAACTAGCCGTTGAAAATGCACTGGCACCGAGAGCTTCAAATCCTCGTATTACAATACAGAGTGTCGTAAATAATGTATAATTACTGACATATTCAAGAGTTCTACAAACGATCAATTTTTTCATCAATTTTCATAATGTGCAGCTTAAGTACTTACGCAAATAAAAGATTACAAACTCCTGCCATAAACATACCAGACAAAAAAAGTACTTTTGCCCCAAATTTTGGAAGCTATGTTTAATAAAGTGTTAGTAAAATGTTACGTAAATATGATTTATACTTACAATTTTTCCAAAAATTGGTGAAGTCAAAAACATGACCAAAGCATAAAAACTAAAAATAAATCCTGACAGAGTATCTGACAAACCTTTTTCTGCCGCCTCTCTTGGGAAAAACGGTGCCATAATTGACATTGAACAAAAACTAATGAAATCCACCAGAGCTAAAGAAGTCAATGTCAACTTTTGTTTTCGAGTAAAACTTTTGAACGTAGATCTTTCCAGTCGAGAATTGGTTCTTTACGAAGATATTATTATCACTTTCTATTGTTTATTTATTTTTTATTTAAATGACTTACCTTAATAACCTTTCTCTAATTCTATGTATTTCTCCTGGCGAATAATTGTCGGGTAAAATGTTCGACATAGATTTACTTCTGTAGGTATTTCGGGACGGATAAAGGTGATTTTCTTCCGACGAAGATGTAGAAATATCGAAACTGCTTCTGGTAGAGTTGAGATCTGCAAAATCACCTCGAGTTTCTGGCGATGGTAAGTTGTTAAATTTCTTCATATTTTTACGAATTATATGCCACCTTAAATGTAAAGAAACCTACAAAATTTTACGGTTGTTCTCAAGTAATCGTACTGATTGAAACTAACAAATAATTCCTAATCTGATAAACTGCTTGCTGATAATATTGATGAAGTAAATGTTTACTAGTTTTATGTTTTCATGTTAGTTCAAGTACCACGTATTACTGAAAGAGTAAATAAATATCCATTCTAACAATTTAGGATAGCTGATAAACTATCTTCATGGAAAAATATATATTAGACATAGTCTAGCTGATACTGCTGTCGATTTTGGTAATAAATCTTAGCGACGCAATTTAATGATAATTATAATTACTTTTACTGATTAGACGCAAACGTGATGTAAACGTAAAGGCTAACGGTCATGTAAGTACTGGATAAAAAGAAAAAATTACTCACCACAATTGTGAAGTTTTTTTTATCAATTTTTTAAAAAATTGTAATAAAACACTGCTTCTCACGTTATACGTACTTACTTTCAAATATTACAAAACGATGTAGTGACACATCATATTATAACAAAACAGCTGCGACCTTAACAAAATAACAACAGTTTATATAAAAAAGGACGGACGAACAAATCTGCGATAAAATTTATTTATGATTCAACTAATTTGATATAAGCTGTTATGTAACATTGTGAAAGAAGAAAATAAAAGGAGAATTAAAAAAAACTATGAAAAAAGCACTTTCATTTTAAGTGTAAAAGTAGATATACGAACATTTTTTTTTTGCTTTCAATAGATTTTCTTTGGTAGAAATTTAACACATGTCAGTGAAATAAAAAATGAGTGTCTATTACCACCACAGTTATGTATAAATGAAATAATTACATACAATAAAATTTATGATGGCACGGGAGGATGAAGTTTTGTAGAAGGCATTAATGTAACAGTAACTTAATTGTTGTTTAATAAATCATTATGAACGGCCATAGTGATACATTTTCTCATCATCAGGGATTAAAACCAGGGGCGATCTTAGCAGGTGTAAATGAACAATATATTAAGCCGTCAAATTTTGAGAACGCCAAATTTTCTGCTATTGCACTGTTACAAAAATCCAATTTGATATCGATTGTACTACAATAATTTTAACGTTATAAACTAAATTAAATTTTTCCAAAAATTGTGTATAATGCGTACATACGTGCTTCTTTAACAGAGGCATCAGTGCATCACAATGGTTAAGGCTATTATGTTACCCTACCCTCAACTGAGTCAAAACAGAATTGCCATTAAAATTAAATTATTATTTATAGTCAAGAAACACATATAATATGTAATTTCACCGAATGAAATTTAATAGGAAGGTGGTAGTGAGTGAAGATTTCAATATTCGATATACATAATGTTACGAAATAAATCCGTACGCCGCCCCGGTACGACGCCTACGGGTTTTTTCGAGAGCTTTCTACTATGTACGACAATGATGGGTGACTCATCATCGGTGATGACGGCCGGGCGGCGTTCGCTAAAGAAAATCCTGGAAGCGGAAGTCGCGATGGGTACTCCAGAAAAACCTCGATCGAGGAATATCTAGAAAGGAAGTATGGATTTAAATATAGATCACCTTCGGGAACAATTCATTCAGTCAACGAGTCAAGTTCAGTCAATATTGAGAGAATTTGGGTCTAGCCAAATCCATTCCAGTCTGAATTATTCTATACTAGCTGTATAGTTAGTTGTCTAAATTAGTATTACCGAGAAATAAATTGTTGAGTTTTACTCACGCCGATTTTTAATGGCCGATCAACGTAACATTGGTGTCGAGTGTGACATTCAAGATTAATATTTTTCTTTCGAAGATCTACGAGCAGATTGGAAAAGAATTCTAAAGATTGATGCCTGTTGAGACCTGTCCTCAAACTGCAGCAGTAATGGAGGATCAAGTAAAGTGAAGGTAAGAATGGAAGCAATGAACGAAAAAATGGACGCAAGAATGGAAACGATGGACAAAAAATAGACAAACAAAAAGATGACATAATCACCAATCTAACTAAAAAATTTCAAAAGGAAGTAAAAACAAACAAGAATGAAATCCAAGAAGAAGTGAAGGACGTAAAAATAAATTTGGAAAAGATTGTCGGATGAAATATGATCTCAATAGAGTATCATTTGAAAAATGAGTTAGAGAAATCAGTGCATAAATGCCTGGAAGATCGAATGAAAACTATAGAAGATCGAATGAAAATATTTGACAAGACAATAAAAAATGCAGCAACTACTGGTTCATGTAATGTGACGTCGGCTTCCAGAACAATTCAACCACCCATCTATGATGGCCAGATATCGTGGTCATCGTACAAGAAGCAGTTTGTAGCAGCAGCGAAAGCAAACTCTTCGGAAGAAGAACAAGAGACTACAGTCTTGGTACCTCTACCTTTGCGAGGTGCAGTGTCTGACGAAGATATAAGCAAATATATATATATTATAGTTTTGGAAAAATCATTGTACCCTATAAAATTGTATTGACAATAACGAGACGGACAGTAGTACAATGGTAAGAAACATTTATGTGTGCATCCGAATTTGTCGGAGAACATTTAGCAGGTAGTTGTACTCATAAAATAATGGTCATTTTCGTTCGTGAGTAACGATGGTCCCTGTCCGGATTTGGATTATTCTCCTTTCTAACATCTGGGCATTACCGGCACGCGACAAATTTAAGTTGTAAATATCTCTTGCTATTGTACTACTTGTTTACATAATTTACTTTATTAGGAATAAAAAACATTAATTCACACATTATGAATTTTGAAATCGTACCCTTCTACACTATTCTCTTATAAAAAAAAATGTTTTTGTTTATAGTAAGGAACAATACAATTTTTTTAGTTGTTTTAGCTAAGTAGTAGGTTTAACATTTGCATTATTATTAAAAACACTTCCAATCAATACTTAAATATGTTTGTGTTGTCGTGGGGCCAATTTTGCATTACTCCGTCTCTGTGCTTACTTAAAAAAAATAATAACGCCCCCACCACATATTAATAGGCAGGTGGCAAAGATCAGTGCCAACTGCGCATAACTTCAAGCAGTGTTGGCTAGTTCTCATTGGTCAATTTTTGACGTATGGGACGTAACCGTGTAGTGTACACTTGTGTCAATTTACGTATTGTCAAATCATGTCGATATGAAGTAACCAATTTTTTTTATTATAATAATAAATGAGTGTCTTAAACTCATATAATTTTATAATATTAGCCAATTAGTGAACCAATATCAAGTTTGAGTGTGATATTAATTCATATTAACTTTTTATTCAAGGTGTCAGGAAAGTGAGGTTAGAATAATACCGATTTTGAATATTCACATTACAAATGTTAATAATTCATGATTTTAAATAATTTGCAGGATGCGGTTTGTAATATTGTTATTCACGGTGTTGGTGCAGTTACAACTTATTTCCCATGGAAGTTGTCGAGTCAAGAAATCCAAGTCTGTAACAACTCTTCTAGATGCAAAGTGGGAAACAACTCCATTAGTTTTAGAAGTAGTTGAATATCTAGGAGATGAAAATGAAGACTTTTTCTGGAGTTATGTTAATTCCATTTCTAGTTTAAATCCGCCGTTAGTTAAACTAGGTATGTGTGAAAATTTGCCAGTGTTTTAAGACTGAACATACATACATTACAGGAAATGATAAGGAAAAATATAAAGTAATGATGGACCATGCCTCTAAATTAATAACTCCATCAGAACTATCAGTATTGAAGTTGGGGTTGTCTTTACATATTTATTCACCTAAAGTACAAATGTTTCAACAAATTGCTGGTGAGCGAAATTTGCCAAATTGTCCTGCAATAGCTGATATTGGAGGAACTTTTACCTGCGACGCGGATAAAATTAAATCGTTGATTGACAATGTAAGCACAAATATTATTAGTATTATTAAAATATTAATTGTTTTATTACAGTACAAAGAGGGTGAAAATAAAGTTGATGTCTATAATGTAGATACACATTATCCAGGATCAGAAAATCGTACTAAAGTTGCCATTCTTTATGCTGAATTAGGTACCAAAGAATTTTCACAGTTTCATAGTGTTCTCAAACAAGAAGCAGAAGAAGGTAAAATTGACTATATTGTCAGACATTATATCCAGGTTGTATCTTCGACATTATCACATAGCTTTGTTAACATGTCATCTTTTAGAATGCAAGTAACAAAAAATTAAGGCTCTCGGGTTATGGAGTTGAACTGCAAATGAAATCAACTGAGTATAAAGTACAGGATGATGCAGAACTTCATGATGACCCTTCTTCAGAGGAATCTTCTCAAGAGGAGGAAGAGTCTGAAATTGAGGGATTTGATTTCAAAAAACTCAAGTGAGGACAGTGTTTTATTGTTCAGATTTTCTTTAATTTTAATCTTCTGATGTAGAAAGTTGTTTCCTGATAACAAAAAAGACTTAGAGAAATTTCGGCAACATCTTGAGGAATCTTCAAATGAAATGGCACCACTGAAAGTGTGGCAATTCCAAGAGCTGAGTTTACAAGCGGCAGAACGTATCATGAGTGCACCAAGAGATGAGGCCTTGAAAGTTTTTACAAACATTGCTCAAAATTTTCCCATGCAAGCAAAAGGACTTGTGAAAACTGTAGTAAATGCAGAATTAAAAAAAGAAATGAAATTAAATTCAGACATCTTTGCCTCAACATTAAATTTGCAACCATCTGATACGGCTCTTTTTATAAATGGAATGTTTTATGATGTAGATCTAGTTGATGTGTATGGTATTCTTGATATTTTACGACAAGAACTGAGGACAATGGAAGGTCTTCATAAGATTGGCATTGGGAATAAAAAAATGTCGTCTTTACTGGCTCTTGATTTTGGAGAAAGTGGAAATAGCCAGGATTTTGCAATTGACATACGAGATTCTGCCATTAATTGGATAAATGATGTTGAGAACGATTCAAAATACAGTAGATGGTCGTCAAGCGTGATGGAGTTATTAAGACCTACATTCCCAGGGATGATACGGCAAGTTAAGAAGAACCTGTTCAATTTAATTATTATTATTGATCCAACTGAACCAAAGTCAAGAGAGTTGGTTAAATTACTGGAATCATTTGTGGTGCATACAGCGCCTTTACGGGTTGGAATTGTGTTTGCTGTTGATTCTTCCACCGAGCTAACGGGATTGAAAGACGCTGGCGTGGCTATGCAATGCGCCTTTAATTATGTTTCACAGAAGAAAAATCCACTGGCAGCGTTGAGCTTTGCTAAAACGGTAAGTCTAATAATTTTTTTATTATTATTGATCTCTGTTCAGATATGTGATATGTGTCATTGCAAATGTGGATTTTGGCCAGCATTAAGCGTGTAATCAGTATTTTCAGTTTAATTCTCTGATTAATAATAATTAAACCACAACATTTAGATTTTAATCAGTGAAGTATCTTTTGATGTATCAATTGTTCGCTTCCGTTTGTGTAGTCATATTTAACAATACTGATAAGATGTCATATCTTTGTTGAGTTAATTTTTTTATTCGTGAGAAACTTGCTCAAACATTTCCAACGATTTTCCATAAAGCGTAAATCAATACGTTTTAAAGTGATACAATGCAACAAATCGTAGGAATTAATTGTTTTAATAGTACAAGTGAGGCCATCTAATAAATCAAAAAATTGTACAAGAATATATTAAAGCTGCGATTATTGCTTTACAAAGTTCAATGGATCATCACTTGAGGTGGACAGGCGTTTTCCCTCTATTTTTATATGAATTATGTTTTTAAGAGCATTTTTGAGAAATTGTTACTGGCGTTTGGAAAAGATGTAAATGGCCATACATCTTTACTCCCACATGCTTTAAATATTCGTTAAATGGCTTTCTCAAAAATTTGTTTCCGTTAAAATAATAATAATAATAATAATAGCGTTACAACTTTTACCAGAGTCCTATCAGATTTTCCTAATTTTTTCAATTATTCCATTATTGAAAATGTTATCAAGTTATGTGATTTTTTTGTAAACATTGTAAAATTTAATCGATGACAGTTGACAAAGCGGAAATGTCAATTATATGCAATAGTATGGATGAATCGATTAATAAAACACATGCGTTTTTCACTACGTCCTCTTCTATCAAAAGCAATGCAAACTTGATGACGTTTTCGTTATGTAACGTCCGATTTTTTAAATTCCTAATCTAGGTACGTTGATAGTTTCGAAACATATGTGTATGTGGAGTGCATACACTACACATTTGTCAGTGTCAAGTTAAATGCAGAATAGTAATATCTAACCTAAAAAAGAGAACATATTGAAAATTGGTGTTATCAACGACATGACTTTTTATTTAAAATCACCCTAGTTTCAAAATTTAAAGAATCACACGTTATAAAATCAACCATACTAAGGTTTAAATTTTACGAGCCGGTTTACAGAAGTTCAATTAAATATTTGATTGCGATTAATTTTTTAATGTGGCCTTAAAGTACCACGTGACCGCCTCTACGCCTCGTTGACTTGACTTGAAGTGACATGTTATCCTTGATTTTTAAACTTCGTATTTTTCATAGATTGCTACTGACACGTCAAATAAAATGACAAATGCAAACACAAAAATGGCGAATATGAAGGTAGAATTTCAAGATGCGTCCTTTTATCCTGTAACGTTTACCTACAATGTTCACAAACAAAAATCGGTCGTAAATGCTTCTGTTTTGGATATCAATTAATTCCGACTTGGTGTCAAGTTGGAAATCCCTTTTTTGTATGTTTTTACATAATTCAGAATAACAAAATTTGTTGTCTTATTTTGTTCCAAGCACATTTGCCTTCCTCTTACAACTGCATGAATAACACTTTGTAACGTATAAGGATTTGCGTTGATTTTGTAGTAATACTTCGAGTGATTTTTGATTTTAAACGTAAAGTGGTGAGCCCCAAAAACCCCTAAATCAAAATGCAAGATATGGATAGTAAATTGTTTACTCTTCCATTCCATTCTGGAGAGGAAAAAGCTGTTGAAATAAGCTAGAAGGGACTTATTTACCAGCTGCAAAAAAACCTCTCCAGCTTTCAAAAATGAAATAAAATTTTACAAATCGATAAGTACAAATATAAAAAAAAAAAACACAAACAGTCGAGTATAACAGACCAAGCTGAGTAAAAACACACTTCGCACTGTGAGAACGCGTAGCGACAGCGGCGCAAATGGCGTCTGTTTCTGAAGATCTATTTGCCGTAACCACAGCGATGTGCGATTAAATACTCGCAGTCCTGAGGATTAATTCCATCCTCGCAAAGGGGCAAATCAGCTAAACCATCTGATTCACTGGCAGCGGAAATCCGGTATTACAGATAAAGATTTACGTGAACGACGCCAAGGAGAGAAAAGCTCTCAATTTGAGTGTGTGGTCCCGTCATGTCAACTTTATTTCGGTTAAAATTTAAATCTCCAGAATTTTGACGGTAGCAAAGCGGGCATTATGATTATTATAAGGACGAGAACAAGTAAAATTGAATTACGCCAAACTGTATCAAGAATTTCAGACAAAAAAACTACATTATGTCAAATTATGCATTATTCAGGTTAATGATTAAATCAAAATGAGTTCACAAAAATCACATCATAGACCGAATTAACGTTAAACAAAGCACATATGAACAATTTGAGATAAATGTTCAAATCATTCTTTGGGAAATTATTAAACCCGTAAGAGAATATTTAAACCCTTCTGTTTTCAAGTCCACGATGATATTAATTTAACGTGATAATTTTCAAGGTCCTTTCTCTCAAAATGGATTGATGTTTAAGATTAGTATAACAATGCCATAAATGAATTACGTATTATCTTAATTATAAATTTCGAGTGAGAAGTTATGAAGTGTGGATGGTGTAATAATTTGAGTGTAACAACATCCAGAAATTTACGAGTAGAATAAGTGAATTTACATCACGTGTTTTATATGGACGTTTAAATTATTGTTATTATTGAACAGTTAAAAATCTTAACATGAACTGTGAATTTATAATCAGTAAAATAAAAATAATACGTGTTGACGAATTTGCCAAAGTTTCATAACACTTAAGATTAGAAAATCGATAATTAACTGGTCTTACACTAATTACACTCTTTGAGGGCGACAGTGGCGTTGAATGCGATTCATTTTTTACTTTCCAAGCGTAAGCGAATGAAGTATTGTAATCGAGTCCATCGGCCGACTCTTTACTTTTACGTTTTATCGACCTTTCATGACCTCTAGAGTACGAAGAAATAGGTCTCCTTTTTCCGTATGTCTATCTGTATGTCCGTCTTACTAATCTTCCACCAATTAAAAAAAAAAGTCTTTTGGTGAAATTACAAACAAAACTCGACGTACCAATTTTTAACACATATTTATTTACACTAGTACTGCTGTATTACAAGACTCTGAAATCTATAGGGGTGGTAAACATACATGCCTACCTTTTTGAATGATTTTTTATTTTTTAAATGCTGTTTCGCGGCGTTGTTTGTTTTTTGCTAGACTCGACATTTAATTTTTCAAATCGGGACACCACAGTAATATAAAGTTGAATTGACAATAAAAATTAATCATTAAGTAGACTTTGTATGTGTAACCATTAATAAATTAGAAAAAATATTAGAATTTCCACTCGACTACAATTAGTAGTGATCACTCGATCTAAATACAAACTAAAAAGTTTTTAAATTGAGTAATTTTTTATTGATCAAATTAAGAACGAATCACCCCATTTTCCCGAAAATGTGGAAATACAAACGTCTTATTTAATAAGAATTATAATAATAATAGTTAATGTTTGTGATTTTTTTGTCAGGTTGGCAACATATTTAAAATTTTATGGTGGCATATCTGATTGTTAAATTTGTGGCACCAAGTTAGTACCTATCATCTCTTCACTAGGTTTGTTGGGTGTGCTCATGTCAAAATTCATAATTGTGAACTGGAATACAGTTGTGTTCAATAAAAATAGGAATTACATATTTTCACAATATAAACTAGCTTTTTTAATTTGTCCTTTATTTGTCAAGTAGGCAGTTGTTAGTTTGGCACATGCCTGTCAAACCTCATTTGAGCGAAATAGATGAACTAACCTATTTGTTCGCAAAACTGATATCAAAAAGACAACTGTTCAATTTTCTAACTTAAAATCTAAAAAGCCGTTTTAAAATCTGAGTTATCTTTATTGGAAACACTGATCCAGTTGATTTGTATGTTGCCTTCTTACATTTTATTGAATAATAATTCAAAACTTATAAAACCAAAATTGTTTTCATTTTGTTATTGCTGAATTAGGGTGAAACGGCAACCTTTTGTTATTGCTTGTTTTAGCACATTTTCTTTCCACAATTGATTGCTTCTTCAAAAATGCTGTGCATATTTATTTCAAAAATTTTGAAAGTTCATCATTCCTTGAACGTTTTATCACGAATTTCATGAACTTACAGTTTTAAGAAATATATTTAGTGCACATCTATCTTGGGTGATGTATTTTTTTTTGTACTAAGTGGCAATAAATAAACATTATTTTTATTATTTCAATATCATCATAACATGACCCATACAGAAGTAATCATAATTTTGCTAAACAGATAAATGTGATTCAGTTTTAAAGCGGTGTTGCCACATTAACAAATCCGCAATCTGCGGTTTGTATATCAAAAGTTCTACGTGTTATATTTAGATATCCATAGTGGAAACAAAACTAAAATTATTTATACAAGTCATTACGGACACTTTTTAGTGCATTACTAACAATTTCTATTAAGAAAGATAAAGACTCTTGCAGATTTTAAAAATATATTTGAGTCACAGGGTGTTGTAAGCCCATTTACTTTTTAAACTAAAAATAATAATAATGAAAATTAAAAATTCGAACATATAAAAACTTTCCATTTAGTAATTTATGAGTAATTTTATCGTTCAGCCAAAATGAAAGATATACATTATACAATTAGTTTTTATATTAAAATAAATTGACTGAAATGTACTTTTCGGAATAAATTTTTTACAAGTTGTAATTCTTCAAGGTTCTCACATCCGCCGATGAGGAAGTAACTGTTGAAAATGTAAAAACAGAATTAAAGCAGCAATTTGGCGACGATTATCTAGATGTTTTAGACGAAGATTCAGACTACGATTTCGGTCGTCAGTTGTCTCTAGATTTCATTCAACGTACTGGTCAACGAGTACTTCCCCAAGCTCTTCTCAACGGCATTCCTCTTCCAAGCAGCAGTTTAACCGTTGATGATTTCGAAGAAGTCGTTTTACAAGAAGTCATGTCACAAACTTCATCACTGCAAAAAGCGGTTTATCGTGGCAAACTAACGGATTCTGATGATGTCGTTGAGTATTTAATGAATCAACCTAACGTTATGCCTCGTTTAAACGAAAAAGTTCTTAATAAAGATCAGTCTTTATATTTAGATATGACTGGAATCGCGAGCAGTACGATGAACGTTGACGACTTAGCAAAATTATCTGCAAGAGATATGACAGCTACTGCTATTGATAATTTGAGATACTTTTATATTCCCAAGAAGGGAAAGCAGCTGCATACCATGACTTATTGGGTAGTTGGGGATTTGAAATATTTGGAGTCGAGAGAACTTCTTCTAGCGGCTCTGGAACATGCGGTGAGTGTTAAAGAGATATATGTATAAAGATTGATTTTTGCCGCTTTGTCAAAAAAAGGAGTATGATCAAATTGTTGAATTGTCATTCCACAGCAATTAATATCTTGCTCGCTTAGGTATATTATTATCAAGATGAAGCGGCAAAACTGAACACTTAACAAAACTTTTTAAACACTCGTTTTTTTAATAGAAATCTGAAAACCACGTTCGAGTAACTTTTATACCTAATATCGACGGATCAATGCGAAATATGATCAACAAATTAGTGTTAACTGCTTTGAACGAATTTCCTCCCGAAAAGGCATTAGATTATGTGTTATCACTACTGAGAGAAGATAAAGCAGCTCTTGAACTGGAAACCGGCGGACGTCTTAAATTTCCAGTTAGTTTGTTTGACATAATTTTTGCGTAAAAGTGAAGTTACTTGTTTTAGCCCGAATTTTCTGGGAAGGTAAATTCCCATGAGCTGAACTTAAAAATGCTTAGGGTTTATAGTAGACGCGTTCTGAATCTAAATGCAGGTGAAAGGGCTCTTGTAGCGAATGGCAGACTTTTAGGTCCCATCGAAAACGACGAAACTTTTACCACTGAAGATTTCGCTTTATTGGAACGTTTTAGTTCTGTAACATATCTGGAGAAAATTAATAAAGCGCTGGAGAATCTTTCAGATGATGATGAAGGTCCTTGTCGATATTAAATGATATTTACTTAGTTAACAATGTTTTTACAGATATTTCTAGTAACTCATTTTTCAAAATCGTTTCATTACTCGTTTCAAGACCACAAACTAGAACTAGATTTGAAATTTCATTTAGTGGTGACGAATACTCCGTTTTGAAAATACCAGCGGCTCATGCTGACAAAGTTGCGTTTGATATTGTGGCTGTGGTAGATCCGGTGTCTCGGGGAGCCCAAAAATTGGGTCCTATTTTGCAAGTCCTACAAGAAGTACTTAATGTTAATATCAGGGTGTTCCTCAATAGTGTTGAAAAAAATAGCGATATGCCGGTCAAAAGGTTGGTTATAAGGTTGTTAATTTATGTAACTATTGGTTTATTTTAGTTTCTATCGTTTTGTTCTTGAGCCTGAAATTCAGTTTACTGAAGATGGTAAACAAACTGCGGGTCCAATTGCGCGTTTTAGTAATATGCCAACGTCTCCTTTACTAACTCAGAATTACCATGTACCTGAAAACTGGTTGGTAGAAGTTGTTAGGTCAGTTTACGATCTTGACAACATTAGATTAGAAGATGTTGACAGCAATGTGCACAGGTATTGCTAAATAGTGTTTTTGTTTTTGGATAATTTTGATTTTTAGTGAGTACGAGTTGGAGTACCTTTTATTAGAGGGTCATTGTTTTGAAGCTACATCAGGAAGTCCACCAAGAGGTTTGCAAATTACTTTAGGCACAGAACGTCAACCTGTTATAGTAGACACAATAGTAATGGCAAATTTGGGGTATTTTCAATTGAAAGCCAATCCCGGAGCTTGGTTATTAAGGTTACGTCAGGGAAGAAGTGCAGAGATTTATGATATCGTCAGGTTAGACAATTAGCTAAATTTGCATCACTAAGTAACTAAGTTCTATTGTTTTAGTCACGACGGTAGTGACACTCCAGTAAACTCTTCCGACATTAAAGTACTTATTAGTTCTTTGAGATCTCATATTGTGAAGTTGCGAGTCCAGAAGAAACCTGATAAATATAACATGGACTTACTATCTGAAGATGAACCAAATTCCGGAATCTGGAATTCCATAACCAGGTATACATATTCAAATAATAGCACTAAAATCATTAAAGTTTTGCACGGTACTGTAGATTTTGTTTGCATGCAGTCAGATTTGCTATAAGGTAATTAGATAATTACTGCACTGTATCAAGCGAGGCTGCATCTTAATCACTTTCCCTTTACAGTTCCTTTACCAAAAGCGATGACGAAACGGACGAAAAATTAAATATATTTTCACTGGCGTCCGGACATCTTTACGAACGATTTTTACGAATTATGATGGTATCAGTCCTCAAACACACCAAAACTCCTGTGAAATTTTGGTTCCTAAAAAATTATTTGTCACCTCAAATTAAAGTTTGTCTTTTTTGCGCTTTTTATATGTCGTGACTAACGTGGCATTGTAGGATTTCCTTCCATATATGGCAAAGGAGTATGGTTTTGAATACGAATTGGTTCAATACAAGTGGCCCAGGTGGCTGCACCAACAAACCGAGAAACAAAGAATCATCTGGGGCTACAAAATACTGTTCTTGGATGTGCTTTTCCCTCTGGATGTTAAAAAAATCATTTTTGTCGACGCCGATCAGGTCGTAAGGGCAGATCTGAAAGAACTTCAGGAATTGGATTTAGGGGGAGCACCATATGGCTACACACCGTTTTGTGAATCTCGACGGGAAATGGACGGTTTTCGCTTCTGGAAACATGGATATTGGAAGAATCATCTACAAGGACGTAAATACCACATTTCGGCATTGTATGTTGTGGATTTGAAACGGTTTAGAAGAATAGCTGCCGGTGATCGACTTAGAGGGCAGTATCAGGCGCTAAGTCAAGATCCTAATAGTTTATCAAATTTGGATCAGGACTTGCCTAATAATATGATACATCAAGTATCAATTAAGTCACTCCCGCAAGAGTGGTTGTGGTGTGAGACGTGGTGTGATGATGATTCTAAAGCGAGAGCCAAGACTATAGATTTAGTGAGTAGTATTTACGTTGATTTTGTGCAGTTGGTAATATCGAAATTGTAGTGTAATAATCCTATGACTAAAGAAGCGAAGTTGACAGCAGCAATGAGGATACTTCCTGAATGGAAGGGGTATGATGATGAAATCAGGAAATTACAGATAAAGATTGATTCCGGTGTGTTAGATGATGATCCTGCTGAAAATGTTAATATACCAGGTAAGACAAAAGCTTATTTTATGATAATTTTTATTGTCAATAAAATTTATTTACAGAAACGGCTGATAGGCATACCGAATTATGATTATGTTGTAAATTAATTCTTTCACTAGGTATGTTAAATGTACAGTACTTTTTTTTAATAAATACATTGTAAAGTATACTTATTTACATTATTTGAGTATGTGGTGTCCTACAACATACATGGTACTATGTCACTACAGTGTATAATTGCAAAGTTTCGTTTTTGTCAGTAAATTAATTATTATTATTACTGGCTGTTTTGATTTTTGTCATCTGATTTTTTTTTATTATGGTACTGCAGTGAAAATTTTCGGATGATGTATAAACTGTCCGCAATTCTAAGTAATATGAAAATTAACGCAGTGAAGTGAGTTTGTTTTTTTCTTGTTCTACACATTGCATCCATGTAGGTTTATCTAACTTTGACATGTCGTCGGCTGAGAATTATTTTGAACCAAGTCCATTTTTTCTTAAATAATAGATTTTGTATCATACAGTCTCCTGTTATGAAAATATAGTCTTTTGAAAGGGCATAACTTTCTACATTTACAGTAAAAGCAATTAGTTGAAGTATTTATTTGAACCAAGTCCTATTTCTATCTGCTAGCCATGCATGTTGATTTGCTAAACAAAAAAATTATGACATAAAAGTTAAACACAATTTTAATTGTACCCCATGTTTTCACTGTTTTTTGGAAATAAAGTGTAGAAATACTGGTTTTTCTTCAAAATAAAGCATGGAGTTTAACGCTAGCAGGTAAAAGTTCTGACTTTTACCTAAATTAATAAAGTACGTTTAATTTGATCAAATTCTAGCGCAAGTAATGAAGTCGGGCAAAGTGAACATGATTTAATAGAACCAGAAGATTGTCAAAATAAACATTTAAGCAGAAAGCGTTCCAAACATTCTGAGGGGTGGAAGCAAAATGTACGGAAACGCCGTAGACAAAACGGTTTAGATTATATGAACGTAAAGGGAAAACTACACGATAAGAAACATGTAAAAGGCCAGTGCAAGTGCATCAAGAAATGTTCAATGCGCATCAATTCCAATCATCAAAATAAAATTCATTCTAATTTCTGGAAATTATCGGATGGCGAAAAAAATCATTTTTACTGTAAATTTGTGGAACGAGTCAATAAAGCAAGGTCTAGGCCCAGAATATTTCCTTCACCGGAAAAGTCGTTTAAAATATATTCATTAAGATATTTTTTGGAAATTGATGATGTTAAAATTCGTGTATGCAAAACGTTTTTCTTAAATACTTTAGATATTAGTTCCCGCAGAATTTTGTATTTTTTTGAGAATAATTACGACAATACGGGTACCCCAAAACCAGAAAAACGAGGAAAACATACGAAGAAAGTAACTTCCCCACATCTAATAGAGGAAATAAAAGCACATATTAATTCATTTCGTAGAATGGATAGGCATTACTGCAGAGCTACAACAAATAAAGAATATCTGGAACAAGACCTAACATTAAGTAAATATAAGCTCTATTTTTTTCAAACCAAAAAAAAGACAGATGTGATTTTTGTGAAGAGATGAAACATAATGTTGATAGTTCCAATCAAAAGCAAGACAGAGCTCATTTACAAGGAAAAGAAGAAACTAGGGCAGAGAAAACACAAGATCGTTCTATAAAAGATGATTCTATCGCAGTATGTTCGTTTGATTTGCAAAATGTATATGCATTACCCAAAGCTAACGTTTCAAATTTTTTCTATAAGCGTAAATTCAATGTCTACAACTTGACTGGATACTGTAATGTTAATAAGAAGACCTACTGCGCTCTTTGGCACGAGATGATTGCAGGCAGGGCGGGAAATCATATCTGCAGTTGTGTCGTAAAAATATTGGAACATATTGTAAAGGATTTTCCCGGACTTAATCGGTTAATTCTTTGGTCGGATTCGTGCGTACCACAGAATCGAAATAACATTATGTCGTTTGGACTTTCGAATTTTTTAAAAAGGCATCCTAAAATTGAGTCTATTGAACAAAAGTTCTGTGAACCAGGACACAGCTCTATCCAAGAAGTGGATTCTGTTCAGAGCCTCTTAGAAAAAAAATTGAGATATCCTGAAATTTATAGTCCAGTATCGTTAACCCGACATCTAACTACTATAGCTGAAGACAACAAAAAACTTCATATAATTGAAATGACAAAAATGATTTCTTCGATTTTCAGAAATTTGCCAACTGTTTTACGTACCACAGCATACCCTATTCAAAACTAAAATATATACAGTAGACGCCGCTTAATATGATCACGGTTAATGTTATCAACCGTTTAGTGTGATCAAAATGGCTTGGAACGGGCCCACGCAATACCAATGCATTACAGTTTTTCCGTTTATTGTGATCAATATTTCGCTTATTGTGATCAATCTCGCAATTCTTCTACAAGCGGGAATTGCTTTTTAGGAGAAGCGAGACGACTGAAACTAGTATTGTGTTTTAATGAACATTCATTGCTCGCAAAAGGTACATTCGCTTATAGTACCCACTTTATAGACCCACAATCAGTGACAGACTTTAGTAATCAGTGCGTTTTCGTCTTTTGAATGAACGATTTTTTTTTTGTTTTAAAATTAAGTAGTACTTATGTAAAACTGAGCACGTCAAAACGACGAGATCTCGGCTTATCAGAGGAAAAAAAAATCTCAGCCTTTTCTTAACAAATTTCTAAAATAACCAAAGGAAATCAAGAGTTCCTTTCTCAGAATGATAACCATAATTAAAAATAAATTCTAATGTTTATGTACCTTCATCTACCAGCATAATGAACACTGTCTTGTTCATGATTTTGCTTTGTTTCAAGTTTTACTGTCTCTGATGGTGGTTTTCGCTTATTGTTATCAGTCGGTTAATGTGATCAGTTTGTCCAAGTCCCAAAGTGATCACATTAAGCGGCGTCCACTGTATGTTTAAAGAACGATCTCTATCTTGCCTATAAAACGTCATTTTCCGGTGAGCTGAAAGAGATTCGATTGTCGCCAAAGAATACCCGAAACCAAAAGAAAGTTGGGGACGTTTGATATTAATATAAATCGAGCTGTAATTAAAATTAATCCAGTAATGGAAAAAAAGAAGGTAAATGACATTAAAGCTATGCTTAAATATATGGCACAAACTGATCGTACATTCTACGAGAAATATTTACATTAAATTTCTTATAATAGATACATATTTAGTAGATTTTTCACAAATTTTCCATTAAATGAAGTTTATAATGTTTCCAGTTATTTACATAAATATTAAATATTTTGTATTATCTTAAATTAAAAATTTGTTTTGATACGTATGTATTCATTCTTGTTATTACAACGGACATGATTCAATAAACAAAATTCTAGTAATATTTTTTGCACACTTTTGAACCAAGTCCATTTTCACTTTTTGCATTATTCTGAAATTATTGTTGTTATGGATATGCTAAGTAGTACGGCAATAAATACTACAATAATTAAAATATTTAGTAGTAATGGTAAGTATTATTTTGCATTACAAAATCTATAGCACACGATTAAAATTTTGATGGGTAATTTCCATGACAAAGTTTTTAGGGACTTGGTTCAAAATAATTCTTATAGTATTTGAGTACCCAGAAAATTTTTTTCTTTAGAAGTAACCACAAATTCGTTGTTTATTATTAGCACTTTATTAAACTGAATCTTGTTTTTGAATTGTCTACAGTCGACGAAAACAACAAAATAAACTGTGAACTAACAGCAATATTGACTGCATTATTGCAACATAAATCAGCAAATGGTAAAATCTTTAAAATGTGAACAAAATATATGGACGCTGCCAACCGTGATTAAGTCCCAAGAGCTTTTAATGAAACGGTGTTGTAAAAACTGCGTAAAGACATCCACTGATTCTGAAACAGCTATTGAATTTGTGCGCAAATGAGGGATTTAAAAGATACTTACGCTCAAGTCCTATATTTTTGTGTGCACAGGTCATTTTTAAAGTGTTGTATTTAATTAATAACTTATGGGACCTAAACTAGAAAATGATCGTTTCTCAACAGATTTCTGTGTGCTCGGTGATGGTGGTTGTGGAACTATCGCAAAGTCTGTTGCCTCTGTGTCAAAAATATTAAATACGTGCATGTACATATTTCTACATATCATGTCAAAACAGTACACCCGCTGACAAAAAGAGCGTTATTCACATTTTTTACGTAAAACTGACAGCAGTAGTACCTACCATATAATTCCTTTTATTTTGGATCACACGATATCAAACTGGAACAATCCAGGGCAAGAAAAGGAGAATGTTTACTACAGATATTACGCAATTTTTAAAAAAATAATTTTTGATAAAACAAATTAGGACTGAGCAGTGCGCGAGTTTGTTTTGTAGTATGGTGTCCCCGTTTGAATTCAAATTTCACGTTGAAAGAAAAAAAATCAACCCTGCGAAACCGCATTTCAATAATTTGAATTTCAAAATCGTTAAACATAAGCAACTACGTGTAATTTTAAGGGTAGTAATTCGCCCAGGAATGTCAGTCTTTAAGTTGGTGGTGGTGAGTTGGTAGTGGTAAATAATGCATAGGAAAGTAGACTCATTTTGGTTTTCACGATTTCATGCGTCACTTGTTTGTGTGGTGAACATTAAAGGTAAGGTTAAGTTTAGTTTGTAGTTTCATAAAATAGCCATTGTTTAAACGAAAATTAATCGTACCTTGGTACTAGGTTGAAATTCTTGTGTGGAGTAATTAATTTAAGTAAGTAATTTTAATACTCTTTCAGTCGTCGCTATAAATTCAAGAGAGTTATAATTTGAACTCAATTGGAATAAAAAGTTTGTGTGGCGACAGCGGAACACACGGTTTCTAATTAAAGTTTGCAGTTTTATCGTTGCCCAAATAGATGTTAAGAGATTCGCGCCCGCGTGAAACGCGTAGCTTGTTTCAATAGCTGGACTATTTTGCGAAGACCGAGTAATATGCGGCAGGTTTTTTGGGCATGGAAATGTGGACTGTGTGTTATGCCTGTCTATAGAGTAGAAGGAACTTAAATTTCGTTCTCGTTACAACGTCCTTTATAGCTCGCACAGTAACTTTTTTTAACATTTCTCTCTTTTTCTTTGTGTGTTTGAATTTGTAATAATCAAATGTTTGTATTGATTTGTAATATGTGATTTCAGGTTTGAAACCTGGAGTGGGTTTTTGCATCTGGTTTTCAGATTTTCCCGCCCTAGAATGGAGAAATAAAAAAAATGCCCACCATATTTTGCATTTTGATTTAGGTGCATTTTTCCAACCTTGGGGTTCACCACTTTGAATTTGAACGCATTAAAAAACGTATATACTCAACGTAGGGTTCCATTTTGTTGATGTTGATCATAGTTCACGGATTTTAAAATTTTGTTCAGTTTTGGCGGGATATTTGTGTTTAATAAGTTTTGTCTGCGGCTTCACAAGTAATTTTCAACTGGTAATCGCTGTAATAATAAGATTGTAAAAAATTCGTTAAAAAAATTGGCAATGCGGCAATTAAATGAAACTGGAATTAGATATAGGTAATTACTAATTAAAGAACAAAGAATAATCTTTTACCAGGATGATTAAATAGCAAATGCGTCTATTAAAACCTGAAGAATGTTCAAGTGAAAAAGTCTTTAAGTTGACTTAGATAGAAAAATTGACGTTTTATTAATCCATAGTATTGTGTACTAATGATCTTTGACATACTTTAAGTTGTTCAAAAGAGTTAAATTTTTGTACGAAAAATTGAAGTTAGGTCGCCACACGTTATCGATTAAATTTTAGGTTTAGGTATTGTAGACGTTCTTCACAATCATAATGTTTACAAAAAATCACGATCAACTTGATGACGTTTTCAACTGAATACCCGATTATTGTTGGGTGTGATATTTCAGTGTGTTAACTTCCTATATCATAATATCATACAGGATTAATTTATAATTGTTCATTATTATATTAGGTACATTTATAAAACCGTAGTTTTAATGTCGGAAAAATGTTCAGTATCCATTTTCCGAAAATTTTAAACTTGTGACCAACTACTTGCCGGCACCAGAGAGCATCACGTGCTTAGGGGTCAGATAAACACTACTAAAAATATTTACTTGATTTTCGAATTTGAAATCTTAATCTTAATCAACAACGATTGCTTTCAAATCACTTTCTGCTATTTCTTGAGACTTTCATTTATTACTTACTTTAAAAAAATGAGAAAATCAGTAACACCAATATAATTTTCTATAATTTGCATATTGAGAAATTGCTCTTACTACCTGTTCGTTCTTTGACTGACTGAAATGAAGTAATGCGTTCTTCAATTCTGAATGTGTTTTAGCTTACGATTTTAATGAGCATTCAACTACATTCATAAACTTGCGTCATTGTTCTGCAGATGTTACATTTAACGTAACAACAGTTGTAATATTTGCATTGACACCTTTCAATTTTTTCTTCCACCAGTGTTCTGTATCCTCTACCACAACATAACTGTCTGCAGCTGTCAGGTCCCTCCGTTGTTACATTACATTTCCTAAAAGATAACCAAATATTCTCGAATTTTCAAAACGCTCTCGTTTTACTGACCGTCCTGCAGTTCCAAAGCTACCCAGTTTCATATCTTTGGTACAATAGTCGGGCGATTTCGACAGGAACAGAAGCTGTTCACCCCCTGTTTTTTTTCCAAAGTTTCCTTCAATATAACTTCTTGATACTTCTTTCGCGTTCGTATACTGTCTTAGTAACCGTTGCCCTATATCGATTAGAGGCGGTAAACCTTTCCAGCACGTTTTTATATTGCAAGATCCAGATACTCCATGACATTTGCATTGGGTTCTCAGATTTTCTTTTACAACCTAAAAATTTCACAAAGAACTTGCACCTAATATTCAATTTTTTTTCTTTACTTTTCTGCCGACACGATTATTGTGCAAGTTAACAGCAGCAATTTCTTCTCTTAGAAGGAGGTTCTTCTTTTCTTCAAAGTTGCCTCTTCTGCGTTTCCTGGTTTTATCGAAATTCAGTTTTTCAACATTGTCTATAAACCGTTTTGCAAAATAAACGCCCCAGTATATGTTATCGCCGCATCCACCCCACTGGAAATTCCCATTAGGCGGTTCATTTGGTTTGCTAGCACACGTGCAATGGTAGAGGGTGCCGCTTGCGCAGGCACGTGCCATTGTGTATGTTAATGCTGCCGAGCTTATGGCGTACACGTAAGCTTGTTCTCTTGTTGCTGGAATATAAAAAAAAAAACAATTAAAAAGTTTGTTACGACAAAGTAAACTGACCGAGATTTTTTAGATGAGTTTTTTGGATAATAAAAATTTTACTTTTGTATGAAAAACAGGTTGATTTCAAAGTTTTCTGCTGTTTCTATAAATTCGATATTTTTTGGTTGGTTATTGTTTATTGTGTTTACGTAAGGTATTTACACACTCGTCAAACACAAAAAAAAAGAAAACATAATTACATAATACTTAATACCCAATCTGTTCTCTAAATATTGATCAACTGAGTTACAAAGCTTTCTTACTACATATTATTTTATGAAACACAAACAATCTATACATTTATTTATTTATTTATTATCTTAATTTGTATTTTCAAAGTCAAAATATGCGCCATAACATTATAAAGCTTATGGTTCAAACTACACAACAAAATAATAGTTATACATGTTATCAAAATTAAATAAATGGGGAGTTATATTTTGGGACGTGATACCAAAACCAATCATTGTTAATTTGTGGATTTGTTTAATGTATCGATTCGATATAGCATAAATCAGTATTCCAGTAACTTTTCATTGTTGCATAGTTAAGTGCAGTGAGCAGTGTTGGGGACAGATACTTTTAAAAGTATCTAGATACAGGATAGATATATGGAAGATAAAAGTATCTAGATACAGATTGTTTTCGATTTTTTCGAAATGTATCTAGATACAGATACAAGAAAACAGATACTTTTTGAAGCTTTGGCGAATAAAATAACTGAAAACATGTTTATGTATTTTTGTATGTATTGTTTAATGAATTTTTTAAAATTAACAACATTTCGTACGTATTGTCACCTAAATTATTTCTTCTTGGTGTCAGAATTTGGTTTCCGCTACTAAACACCCGTTTCACAGGTGCAGAAGAAGGGATTGTGGTATTAAATTTAAAAAATACACATTTTACTGTAGCATAGTTATTCAAGACTGAAAAATCTTTTCTTTTTTCCTGCAAATACTTAGGCCATCGCTTCGCTGTTTGATGTGTCGCAAATTGTGCAATATTTATTACGTACGCTTCAAAAGAATATTTTTTTTTGTTTTTATTCCCATACTACAGTGTCCAAATTGTGTTTGAGTTTATCTAATAATTATCTCCAGCATTAAAATTATGTCATAAATTATTATTCTTCAATATCGGCTTACGATGTTTTTATGACCATGTTCGGTAATCGTCTATCCCGGTGCGGCAGGTATATACATTTTAGGAAGAATTGCTGGTTCTGTTTAAGGCAAAATAAGTACAATTTCTTAGAAAGGTATTTAAAGTCCTTATAGGATCAAAGGCTGCCTGGCAGGCCGGAGTGCAACTTTAAATTTTCAGATTTTTAATCTCGTTTCACGATTTCTGAGAATATATCACGATAAATTATTCTACCGAGGGTTGTAAAAATATTAATTTTATTATAAAATGCATTGTCCCGATAAGGGTAAAACCCAGTGAATAGTGAATTGTGGTTTATGGTTTTTAAAATACCATCTTACCATGGTATAAATTTATTACCCCGCAGGATTATATTTAAAGATGTATAAGTACTGAAAGCTACAATGTAGGAAAGGATGGTATTTAAAATATGAAAATTTCCGTGACAGAACACTATTAGTGGACCTCTTACCTCTATTTTTGTTTATGTGACCAAAATCACCAACATGAAGTATCAAAAATTACTACTAGTATAACTCAACTAATAACTACTGAAAAAAAAGTGAAATAAAAAAATGTATCTGTATCTGCGCCATTAATTTTGTATCTAGGGACAGATATTTTGTGCTTAAATTCGATTTTATCTAGATACAGATACTAGATACCCAAAAATGTATCTAGATACTTTATTTAGATACAAGTATCTAGATACTGCCCAAGACTGTCCTTTGATTATTTCCAGCAAATGGGATAAAATAATTGTTGTTTTAAAGTTACACTTATGAATTTAAGTTGATTTTATCAAAAATGCATTAAAAGCTATTTGGAAATCAAAAAACTAGCCTAGGTTACAATTTGTTTAGTGAGATTTTGTTATCTATTGTAAGTGCTCATTTACAATGGGCATAAAACATAAGGATGACATAAATGTAAAAAGCATAAAGTTGGGACAATGATAACCGTATTACACTGTCTTGCTTAATTCTTATGCTTATGACTGACTTATGCACGCCTTATGCATTGTACATAAAGTTGAGAAATATTCAGCTTTTAAGTATATAACAGTTATGAAAATCTAGTAGCTTTATGCGGTTAATGTTTAGTTTTTCGGAGACGATTGGAAAACATGTCAATTGCAGTCTGACAAGAAAAGCGCTTTTTAGATTGTTTGTGGCTTTCAACAAGACAACAATTGGGTATATTATGTTTTACATTACAATTTGTAATGGTGAGGAAAATAATACCTAGTTGTATACTAATAATTGATGTAGTAAAGGTATAGAAAACAGTGACATTAAGCTGCTAATTAACTCGGTGAGGGCCCATGAGTCTTTGTATGATAAAAGTGGCAAGAATTACAAAGACACTAAGGACTAAAAATATTTGGCAAGAGATTGCAGAAACCGTATCTTCAACTCGTAGGAAAATATATTAACGTAAAGAACCGACTGAGAACTAAGAAACAGAGAGTATCTTAAAGTGAAAAAATAAATCACGCAAGAAATTTATCGTTAGAAGGGGCACTAAGGGTATCAGTTTTGTTGAATCCTAAGTATGGTAAGGCGAAGATATGAAACAGGTTCTTTTATTCTCGAAGACCAGGGTAAGGGCGAAAATGATATGCCCTCCAAAATGATCTCACAATAATTACTGGAAATGATAGAATATCGTTGCGAATAGTAAGACGTTTAAAAGAATCAGGCGTGGACAACAGAACACCAGCAAAAAATACCACTCACCAGAGCGCAAAAAGGTACAAGAGTAATCTTTTTCAAAGGTCGTACAATTTAGTTCCTATACGTGGGAGAACCATGAATGCAAATTATTAGCCAGAAAACATAATAGTTGATCATGTATATATGTTATTTGGTCTCTTTGTGGGCCTCCATTTTTTGTTCATGCAAGGTAATGCCCGTCTTCACATAGCGAGAATAGTTACGGATTACCTGAATGCTTTAGATATTTCTGTTATGAACTGGCCAGCTAACAGTCCAATTTAAATCCCATTGAGCATTTTGGTAAGAGATTAAAAAATCAGTGAAAAGTATACCCCTATTTACAGTATACAATTGGTAAATGCAGTAACTGAAGAAATTATTCAAAATTGAATATCTGTCTTGCCGAGATGTAGACATGAGTGCCACGAATGCCACGATATTAAATTTATACCAAGTTTGTTAATTCCCTGTTTTTTGAACTTTGAAGGTGCTTGTTTTGGTAAAATTAATTCTTTATAAACGAATTTAAAGACATTATTTTATTTAAAATACTGATGTGCGAACAGTATGGCTTTGGAAATAAAACCAGTTGCTCAAATTCAAAGAAGAAGGCCTAATCTAACAGAAGAAGCTCTTCAGGGTATCTACCAGTTTCTTCTTGAAGTAAGTAAACGGAAAGATTAAGCGCGGAGTCATGCGGCTATAGGATATTAGCTTTCAACGAAAAATGAAAAATTTGGCATGGAGAACGATCCCAAAAAGTCTCTTTTTGTGAATGTTGCTTTTATATAATTCAGAACAAGGAATAAATACGTGAAATCTGAGAAAATGCAACACGATAGATAAGGAGAAGAAACTGAAAATAAGTGCAATCCGACCCGACATTTTAATTACCTATTTGCATGTTTTGATTAATTCCAAGGAAAGTTCAATATTATATCAAAACTTACTATAAGGTATTATATTTGTTGTAATAATAATAATTCGTCATTAAAAAGTACATTTCATTTGAGTATATTTTTTAAATTCAATTGTTAAGTGTTGCGATTAGATCTCGATTTTGTTTATTACGTGCTAATCGATAGTAGGACGAGAATTTTATTAATTCTTGGTAATTCTTTCTTTCAGATAGCAGACTTATCGGAGTTATCGGTGCGTAAAGAATCCTCAAAAGTTCAGGTGTGTCGGCACCGCGTGTTCAAAAACTGTAGGGAGGAATTTGTTTCCCAAATGAACTTTTTAAGACTTTGAGTTGGTCATAAATTGCTCTAAAAATTAGATCCTTGGACGTTTACAATTTGCGAAGTATTTAGTCAAAAACTGCTGGAAATTTTTCTGATCTTTCGATTTTTTAGTCTTTTGAAAAGTTTTTGATATATTATATGTGTGTGTGTAGGTATGTTTGTGGTATTTATGTGAATAAATTTACAGTTACACAATGATTTATTATTTAGCAACACTTTACGTAACTATGTTTCAATAACAAAAAAAAAAAAACCGGACGGCCGTTAAGTTAAAAATTCTATACTGTCCTGTGTACTTAGATAGGAATTTTCTACTGATTCAAACACGTCCTAAATAAAGACAAATTGTCTGAATATGTAAACGTTACACAAAAACAAAAGAAGCTTTTTTAGCGCCTGAATAAGTTATTGGAAATTTTTGAAAGTTGACTTTAACAAAATACATATTTGACCAAATGTTTTTGCCAGCTCAAATTTGGTCTGATTTCATTAAATATATACCTTATTATTATTACTGTTAATGCATTATGACTGAGAAGTTATATTCGCTAATGTAAAAGATTGTCTTTAAATGACAACATTATTTTTGTATCATTGCTAGTATCGTCATTTTTGGAAGAGTACCTACCAATTAATTATTTTCCATAATCATATTTTTTAAGACTTCATTTATCAAATATTTAATTTCGGAGGCTTCCACGATCGGAGTCAATACATGATCGTTTTCCGGGTTGGGACCGTATTAATTGAGTTTTTGGGCTCAACGTTTCGCACACATTCGTAAGTGGCATCTTCAGGAGCAGGGTTAAGAAATTAGGAATAAAATTTTAAGACAACTTAATTTAAGGTCCAGGT